TGCGACTTCCTGATTTAAATTTAATCTTGATCGAGGGGATAAAAGCTGCGGTCTCCACTTGAAGCTGCAAACGCTTCAATACGCGTTTTTCTTCTTCCTTTTTACAATGAAGGAGAAGAAGGCTAATGATCGAGAGACAAGACGCGAGTTCCTGATTAAAATTTAAACTTGATCGAGGCACGGGTCTCTGGGAAAGATGCCCATCAAGATAGCGTAATCAAGGACACGAGGCAAAATATAAAAATTATACTTTATTATAGTAAATCCACGGCCTTTGATTTTGTATCTTACCCAGGCACATTCACGCTGTCTATTTCACGACGCATCGTCGTGCTCTTTCTGCGTTAGAATGTCATTTATATCATTGCACCACCTCTCGATATAAGACGTGACCGCGAACGACACCAAGAGTACCTTGAGCGGAGCGTTGTGCCATGGACAATTCAACCAGCGTAGATCTATATGCGTGTACAATTCGGTCTCTAACATCACCGCCGTGTGATGCGCGTAACACACGCTGCTCATTATCCGTTTTAATATACCGTCGGCCTCATTGAGCACCCTCGTCAGATCATTACTGCTAACTAATTCGGATTTCGTGACGTCCGTCAGGAGATTCTTACACGTGTCGCAGCCCTCGACGCGCGAATCGTGCAGGATCTTCGCCGCGACGGCGTTGCAGACGTCCTGGTGTTCGCGTGTCCCACCCAAAGGCCGCTCCAGGTCCAACGTTCGCGGATCGCCCGCTGTCGAGTTGTCGTCGCACCTGCCCTCCATCTTGCAGACAAAGTCCTTCAACGTGAACAACAACGGTCCGTCTATTTTATTCTCGCTGCTGTTCTCCACGGTACGAGGCGCCGTCAGATTGTTGATCAGCAGCGTCTTGAAGGAACTCTCAAACTCCATGCACGTGGGATTGCTTTTCCTCGTGCCGAAGGACCTGATCTGGCCGAAGAAGTGTCGCAGGCAATCCTGGTTCAAGATTCTCGGCTTCAGGCACTTGAATTCGTACGTCTTCAAAACCGTCCACAGTTTGCGCAATCCCCGGACGGTGGAGATCCAATTTTTCAAGACACTCGAGTCCCTCAGTCGAACTTTGCTCTCCCGATCGACGAACCGCATTCTCTGCAGCCTCCTCACCGCCCTCTCCCAAAACGGGAAGTGTGAACTGTTGTGCGAAATGGCGACCCTCAAGGACTTCTCCGGCTTCAACGTGTGCCCGTTCATGGAGTCGAACAGCCGGTCGAAGAAAAGTATTATATCCGCCGTGTCCCGTCCCTTCTTTTCCGGCATCCTCAACGGCCCGTAGATCGTATTCACGTGGCCTGCGAAAGAACGCATAAGAAAGACTGAGACGCGATTCTTGAACGCATTCGAGGAAACGTATGCGAATATAATGCCCTTACAGACAAGCTGCAGGTGGATTGGCTATTCGCATGGTTTTTAACTAATCTTTGACTTCCAACTTTTCTATGAGACCAGGAATCTCACGTTTCTCTTTCGAATGAATTCAAGAATCGAGCCCGCGGCGCCTGACAATCACATGATTAAGTATATGACAATTACGTCAGGTTCTTAGAGCATTAATGAATTTGAGATGCGGTAATCTGGAAAGATATAATAAATACTGGCTAGAAGCAAAAGAAAGAAAATGTGGTTTTTTTTGCAATACAAGCATATAATAAAGAAATAAGGAATAAGATATGGAGCGATAAATTAGATATGGTAAAAGGAAATACTACAAGGAAGCTATGGATGGAAAGAGAAAGCAGGTTACGAAGTTTAAAGAGAGAAAAAGGAGAGAAAGAGGAGGAGAAAGAGGAAGCAATGTAAAGAATATAATAAAGAATATATAAGATCAATATAAGACTAATAAAGTATAAATAAGGAATATAAGATCCATACAAGTGCAAGTACAAAAATTTAACATAGAATAATGCCAAGCTTAGAATTGTTAAGTTTAGGTTTCAAATTATAAAGCAATTAGAAATACTGGTCGCAACATACAAGGATGAAAATAGGGAGGATGGAAATAAGTATGCAAGAATGAATGAATTAAGAGCATATTGTAAACCAAGTCCACTTCTTGGCTGAAGGTAATAAATTATCTAGCTACGTCAGGCCCTAATACTGAATTCGCATAAACGCACACCTTCTAATTTGGTGTGGTGGAGTATGAACCTGCCCACCGTCATACTCAAGACCTGCGCGGCGTTCTTCACTTTCTTTTTCTTCACTTTACTTCTTATTATATGCTCCGCGGTGATTTTCGGCATGAGCCGATATATGCTGTGAGTCAGGTCCATGTGATACGCCTTTTCGATGATGTCCCACGACGCAAACTTGCGCTCTTCCCCTTCCTCGTGGTCGAACTCGAGATCGTTATTTAACAAATTGTTGTATATCCCCTTGATGAGATGCGGCGGATCGTACAGCGGGATTATGTCTTGCCTTTTTATCGTTATGTAACCGTCTAAAGAAACACACGGGACACCGGCTGTTATACTTGACAAAAAAAGTAACAAAATATATATACAGGGTGTCTCATTTTAAACGACCCACGCAAATATCTCCAAAAATATGAAAGATGCGGGAAAAAACGTTTCAAACGAAAGTTAGTTTGGTTTGAAGGACATAAGATGGTGCCAATGCTTTTCAATAATTGGAACACTATTGCAACAGCATATTCCTGAGACCAAATCAAAGTAAAAAAAAGTCCTGTACTACTTTTCCCTCCGACAAACAGTTATCGAGATATCATAAGCTAACCATTGAAAAAGTTATAAATTTTCTCTCGAATATCTCAACAGGTATTTGGCAAATCAAAAAATGTTTCGGACAAAAGTTGTTCGTATTAATTAGTAGAATAAGATAGTACAATAAACAATAGGGGATTCCATTTAAAAAATTGAAGACCACGTGACTTTCAAATGACTCTCCAAGGTCAATGGCACCTTCTTATGTCCCCGTTGGAACCAAACAACTTTTCTTTGAAACGTTCTTCCGTATCTTTCATATTTTTGGAGATATTTGCGTGGATCGTTAAAAATGAGACACCCTGTATAATAAGATCTTGAATAAATTACATAATAAATGTAGTTGCAATCTTCACAGGCAATAATCATTTCACGAAGCGCGCACTTACAACATAGCTGCCCCCGTCTCGACTTGAGCCTCGCCGATTCTAACTTGAGTGTATTTATCGCCGCGAGATTCCGCTTCCCGTCATTGCACATAAAGGCGACCAGGTACAATCCGCTGTCGATTATAATTCTAGCGATATCTCTGATCCACTGGACGAGCTGCCCGGTCTGCGTCGCGCCGTCGCAGAAGTAATACGCCAGCGGGTACTTCCATCCGCTTTGTATGCCGCGCACCATAAAAATCAGAGCGTGATCGGCGAACTGCGCTCGCCTCTTGGTGCCAAAGTCCTCGAAGCCGACAATGTGCCTCTTCTTCGTGTCGTAGTCCACGTGGAGCTGCAACGACATCTCGTCCCACATCAGAAGGCACACCTTGTCCCTCTCCTTCATCAATTTCACTTGCTTCCTCAGGTGTCGATTTATAAAGTTAATCGGCCCCGGATGAATGTTGACTCTCTGAAGTATAGACCGCAACGTTTGCACGCTAGGCAGATCGAAAACCTGCGCCAGGTACTGATAACATTTGCTGGATTGTTTCATGATGGACAGAGCGGCGATCTTCTCGTCTAGCGTGAAGTGTCTGTCCTGCAGATAAAATCAGATCAACCCGTTACAAGTTCAGTCTTAGCCTGCTACAAGTTACTATAGTACAGTCCGCTTGCGTACCTTGGGGGCGCACTTGGACGCTTTTATCAGCGTTTGAAGGAACGTTTGCTGATCGGGCGTCAACGAGGACAGCAGCTTGTCTATGGCGACGATTTGCTTCTTGGCCTGCTTTATACGCTCGCGAAACGTCAGCTGCCTCATTGCAACGACCTCCCGCTTCCTCTTCAATATGCACGACAACTTGTACAGCTTCCACATTTTCGGCGTAAACTTGTGAAAGTGCTTTCCGCGCACCAAATTGTGCAGGTCCGACAGGCTGGGCGTCGAATTTTCCGACGGGACAGGCTCCGATTCTAAGGGATCTTTACTTGCCGGGGTGTCATCGTTCACCGGAGCACTTTGCAACTCTTCCTTGACCTCGACCGGCCTCTCCTCTATTATTTCTATTATTTCGATCTCCTCGACTTGATCCGCCGCGCTCGCATCCACCGTCCTGTCCTCCGATTCCCTCGCAGCGGCCTCAACGTTATTGTTATCGGCCGCCTCGCCGTCGCGATTGTTGTTCGCTTCGTCGCCATCGTCGCGCGGCAGATACAAGGACGGCACGACGCCGGGTTTCAACCTTCGCAGTCTGTACATCGCCTCGTAGTCGGTGTCGGCGAAGTGCTTGTAGCAGACGACGCACTTTCTCAACTGCTCGTCGGGCAGGTCACGTATCCTCTCGGAGTAAACCGCCTTCCTCCACTTGTCCATCATGACGAGGTTCTTGGGAAACGTGTGGGAGGGTAGACCCACCCCCGTGGAGCAGCCCAGCACGCAGCACTGCCTACCCATCACCTAACCTAAGAAACGACTGGTCCATTGTTTATCAATCGTTCCACGACGTACGCGACTTGCGCCGGTATTCCTACCTGTTGCAGCTGCGGACGGCGGCGGGTGGATTTAACGGGACGTGGTGAAACCCGACCAGGCAACGCTCCGGCGAGAGAAACGAGCGCGTCCAACCGCGTGTGGGTCGGCGTAACGGCGTGGACGAGAGGTTAGAACGTGGACGTGGGAACAGTTCGCGAGATCCGGAGAGGAGAATAAATCTATGCTACAGAGATCTCGTCGATCAATACGTGACGCTCGTAGTTAGACATTACTTTGACGTTTCAAGAAACAGAGATACGGTGAGCTATGCCATTATTCGCAACTCCATCAGAATTTGTTTTCCCTCTAGCAAGCGTGCGTAAAGAATATTTCGATTCTCTTTGAAGATCGACCGTGGCACCGACCCCATGGATATGCCGGAAGCATCGTCCTCCAATCCCGCGGCGTCTAGCAACAGAAACGAGTCGGCGGCGACCGAATCGTGTAGCTCTATACACGTGTGGCTCTACACGTGTAGCTCTGCGCTAACCAGTGAACTCTATACATACTGGAATGAGTGATCTATAGTTTTGGCTGTTGCCGAGAGAGAGGTGCGTTTGGGTGAATCCTTGTCTCCTTCTAGTACTACCTGATTGGATAGTTGCATATAAATGACGAGAAGAAGGGCGTCACTTATATGCGATTATCCAATCAGGTAGTACTAGAAGGAGACAAGGATTCACCCAACGCACCTCTCTCTCGGCAACAGCCAAAACTATAGATCACTCATTCCAGTATGTATAGAGTTCACTGGCGCTAACACGAAATCAATCGTCAACAGTTTAGAAATAACGCGCGGCAGGAGGAGACGCGGTTTTTTCAGCGACGTAATCTATCCGAAGGTACAGTATGCTATCATCACGAATACTGCGTTGTGACGCGACTCCACCTACTTTAGCAATCGGGATTCATCGTAATAGTTTTGTGCCTTGCAACGTAGAACTGAGTCAAACTATCTGTGTAATGAAAGCATTATACAGATAATGCTTTCATTACACAGATAATATATATGTATTATGATATGTATATGGTGTATGTGTAATGTATAATGTATCTCTATGTATAATGAAAAAATATATATTTATATGTTTATAAAAACATTTGTGTTCTTTTATTCTAGAAAATATATATAGTATCTTACAGCAGAAATGATTATTGGAACAAGAAACAGAAAATTTTGCTTCATTATTGAAATATATTAATTGTTTTGTTTGCAAGCAAAATTCTCAATGTTTCTTGTTTCAATAATCATTTTTGTCCTTATTTTACTTTTAAATGGAAAGTACGAAGCACACGTTTGAGCTATAGCTATATATTAATATATATCGATATATATCGATACATGTCACATCGATTTTAGTTCCGAATGTATGCTGTATAGCCCAGATGGCGACACAACGGTCCAAGAAAAATACATGGGAGTGTCCACCCCCTGGTGCGAACCCGCGGAGCGAGCGCACGTGCTCCCCGATCGCGAAAATCGGAGCACTCTCCGTCGTGAAGGGATAGCGCGCGGTGCTTTCCCGAGAGCCTTTGTATAAAACCAGTGTAACGGTATCGAGTATTAAAATAGAGCCTGTGTTACATTAGAAAGTTTATTCTTGGTAAACCCCTTACAATATGTTACAATCTCTTTTTCGGCAGCGAGCCGATGGTCGTCGATAAAACGGTGGATTTGGCGCTGGACGACGTGATAGTAGTGAGGGTAGGCTGTGAGAGAAGCACCGTGGGTTTGACGGTCGCGGCGGCGGCACCGCCGGTCGCCACTTGGTCCCACCTTTTCCGCTTCGCCGTGCCGGACACGATCTCGATCTCCGCTTTCCGCGCCCTCTGCACGAGGGCGAGCTCCTCGTAATACGAGTCCTTCCTCCATTTTACCGGGTCAAACCTGTCCGGTGGGTAGTTGGTGCCCAGCTCGTCAATACTGCAAAATTTAATGAGTCTTTCGTAAATTGATGGATTGCGGAACTCCTTCCGCTGCTGGATGAGCATGTTCATGTCCAGCCCGTCGCTCTCAATTTTCTTATAGAGCCTCGCGATCTTGTCCTGCAGCTCGCCGGGACATTGGCCCGGCGGTTCCGGTGGTATCGCCACACCGCCATTATGCAGGGTGGCCCCCTGGGGAGTGTTCGAATTCTCCTGCAGGCGCTCGTCTTCCTCGCCCTCCGAGTCTGAATAGGTGGCCCTGAGAGATGCTAGAGCAAACATGGTTAGTTGGCTGAGTGCCCGCCGTGCTACCAAGCGATATTTTGTGGGAACTCACCGGTCTGGCGTAGCGCGGCCTGGCCCAGCGCCCAGCTCGTCAGCCACGCGAGGGCTTTACCTGAAATTCAACGAGACACCTTCATTAACTTGTATTCGCGGGCTTAGTTTCCGCGTTAACGTAACACCCTCGTTTGGTTTACGCTCTCGCCGCGTTTCTTCCAAGATACACGCAACACGCGCTAAGCGATACCTCGTGAATCTCTGTGAGAAATTTCGCCTCGACTTCCGTTATCGTTGCGTCGTTTTCGGCGCACGAACTTGCCCCTCGTATCCCTCGAAATTTCCAGCGCAAACCGAATCAGAGTCGACAATTTTGTCACGCGCGACCGCGACGCGATCGACGTTAGTAAAGTCGACGAGCAACTGGTGACGTTAACAGAGAGGTAAGAGCGGCGTTTAAAGCGCGCAGACACGTCAGGATCATGTGTTCTTACTCGTTCATTTGAGGTCAAGCTAACAACGAGCGAGAGGCAGGTTAGGATTCAACCGAGTAACGTTAACTCGACGGTCGGCGACGGGGCGGCTCTACTAACCTCAAACTTTCAACGTCCACGATCACCCGGTTCAGTCTGAACCCGCTCGTCCGCACTTGCGATCAATTTTAACAGCCGTGCAGATAAATATCCGACGAGGCGAGATTAGTCCGCCTAGAGTCCCTGTAGTAAGAGTCTGGCTCTGGCAAGGGTTGACGCAAAATGGCGTCTGGTCTGTTCTAGAGTCCCTGTAGCAGTGATGCCGTTCGGGAACATTCGGGAACGTTTACCCGTATGCTGCCGCGATGGTGGGGGTTAGAGAGGGGATAGTCCGTCTCAGCGCCCGCACGCTCGCACACAAACAACACGTCGTAAATATGTGTTGCTTGTGTGCGAGCGTGCGCGCGCAGACGATAGTCCGACTATCCCCTCTCCAACCCCCACCATCGCGGCAGCATACGGGTAAACGTTCCCGAACGGCATCACTGGCACGAATCGCGGAGAGGTTAGGATCTCTGTTTCCTCACCTACCATTGGTCCCTTCGCCCGGGATCCGGCGTGGAGCCAACGGCAAGAGCCAATGGCCTTCGGGCATCGTCGAGCAGTTAACCCATTTCGTGTCGTGGCGTAGCAGCGCGAACACGTGTTGTTTCGGGTAACCCTCGCTCTCTCGTGCGGTTAGGAAACCATAGAAAACTATTGTCGCGTTTATTCTTACTTCTCGTTTGTTCTTAGAATGGCGAAGAAGAAACTGAAGCAGAAGGAAGACGAGGTGGAGGAGGTTACGTCGGACGAACCTGCCGCTAAAAAGGTATGCGAATAACCTAAATGTTACTACTAGAGCTGTGAAATTTTCATGTTATTTTCTGGCATTGCTTTGCGTTTTGCTTTTCCAGATCTTGCGTTATTTTCGTGTTATTTTTTAATACCTCTTGCGTTTCGTTTCGCCGGATTTTACATTACTTTCACAATGTCTTTGATAATGCCGTGACCGGAAGCGTGCAGGGCTTCAATGAGACGACTTGGGGCCCGGTTTCACCAACGTCGCTTAACTTTAAACTTACAAGTTTAATTCGCTCTCCGTCTCTCTCCAACTGTTACCTCAGAAAGAGGCAAAGAACGAATCGAGCTAACCATAAAGCCAAGCAACGTTGGGAAAACCGGGTCTCAGTGTTTCGATAGAACAATTTTCGACATTTATTAAGGAACAAATTACTGAAATTACACATCGTTTTCAGGCTATAAAAGCAGCAACGTGTCTAAAAAGAAGTAAACCAAAAACTAGTCTTAAACATAAGTCTCTATGGTTTAAGACACAACATTGATGTTGCTTGAATGCTATTTTTCGTGTTGAGGGTCATTTCGCGTTTTAAAAACGTGTTAAAACGAAGTTGGAGACTCCAAGATGTCAAGAAATAACATTAAAAACGTTCCTGGGGCACCTGCGACATTTTGCGTATAAAGATAACATCAAAATGTCACCTCCAGTTATTACTCCATGTAACTTCAGCATTGTCGAGTGTTGAACCTAATCCACAATTGTTCTCATCTAGAAACATTCCATTTTATATAAACAGATTAAAACGCTTAAGCAATTATCGACAATTGTATGTATACTGTACAATTTATAAACTCACAAATTTTTTAAACATATTGACCACATAATAGACTGTTCCTAGGCGCAAAGAGCACATTGTAGACCAGGCTTGAGTTTAAACGAACAGAAATATGTTTTAGAAGATACATCGAGAGGTTCTTTTCGAGCAACGTGTTCAATGAGACCCGTCGAGTTAAAGATTCGAAGGAACAATTAGGGCTTGTCTCTTTGTTACCGCTTGTTATAGATTTGTTTGACGGATTTGTCTAACAGTGAAAAGCAAGATTTAAACGATGATTTCCTCGCGCAGGTGAAATGGATCAACAGACAACGGGTGCTGGTGTTTGCGACTCGAGGTATCAACCACAGGCATCGACATCTCATGGAGGACCTGAGAAAACTGATGCCGCATCACCGTGCGGAGTGCAAGATGGAACGCAGCAAGAACCTGCAAGTGGTGAACGAGATGTGCGAGATGAAGCACTGCAACAAGGCTGTCCTGTTCGAAGGCCGGATGAAGCGAGATCTTTACGTGTGGCTCGCCAATGTGCCCACTGGCGCGAGCGCAAAGTTTCTTGTAGAGAATAGTAATTATTATTTACACTATTGTTAATGCAATATGTATAGATTTTAGAGAACATTGTATAATAATTATTTGACTCTTTGCAGTTCATACAATGGAAGAGTTGAAGATGACAGGAAACTGCTTGAGGGGCTCTCGGCCGTTACTGTCGTTTGATGAAAATTTTACCACTCACGCGCACTACATTCTTCTGAAGGAATTGCTGACGCAGATCTTTAGTGTGCCAAATCACCATCCTAAAAGCCAGCCGTTCATCGATCATTTATACACGTTTACTATTCTGGACAACAGGATATGGTTTCGAAATTTCCAAATCTTAACGGAGGACGGCGCATTGACCGAAATTGGCCCGAGGTTCGTCTTGAATCCGGTCAAGATATTCGGTGGGAGTTTCGGCAGTGACACCTTGTGGGATAATCCCCATTATATTTCCCCTGCTAAGGTAACACAACATTATGGGTGCGTTCCGTTTCTCGCGTGATGCGCACGATGCGTCATTTATCCTTGTTACTCGTCAAATGTTAAAGAAGGATAAATTATGCATTATGCACATCATGCGTGAAACGGAACGCACCCTATATTTTGTATTTGATGCGTACACTATGATTGACTTGGTTTCATTAGTATCTGTAAAATATTGTATCTCTTATTATTTAAAAACTTTCAGTTTCGGCAATCCTTGAAGAAAGCTGCTAATAAGTATATGTAAAAAGTGTAGTCTTAATAAATGTTCAACTATTACTGTATACAAGTGTTCGATTTATTAGTCACAAAAGATTGTCGCGTCGATCACACATCCGCGAGTTCACTCGTTAGGTCGTTACAATTATCTATCGTGTTTCTTGTGCTCGCTCGCCTCCTCGTCAGCCCGATCGCTCGCACGGTGTCAACAGACACGACCTCTCGCACTTGCCAGGCAACGCGCTAAACCCAATCCCTACACTCGGCCATCCTGCATCGACATTCGCCCCGAATGTTTGATTACAAGTAAATTTCAATACGTTACTGACGGGTCCTATACAGTTATCAGACTCTTCGTTATGTACGTCATCGCTATCATAATCGAACCACGGCTTCAAACAATCCACCGTTGTCGAGGTCTGAGCCGGCCCTTCATGTTCCCCTATTTTACGTACCACGTAGCGGTCACCCCGAAGAACTCTAATTATTTCATATGGTCCGAGATATTGTGAAGCGAATTTGAGGCCGGTCCCCGTTGTGTTCTCTTAATGACTACTAAATCTCCCTCGCGGAATCTTTTAGGTTCCTTTCTTTTGCGGTTGTAGCGTGCTTTATTTTCCTTTTGTATTTTTGAATATTTTCGCGCGCCGGCATCCGCAAATCGGTCCTCTCATTATCGAAGTTATGAGATATTTCCTGTAAGAGTAATTCCATCACTTTTGGATCGTCCTTCAGCATACAAACAGAGTGGAGAAAAAAAAGGTACGACAAGCAACTAAACCAGAATTCTCGTATGCATTTAATCCCACAGATGGGATATTTAAGGGTGATGCATTGGAGAAAGCAATAGAAATGGAAGAAAAATTTAAGACGGATAAAAGTGAAAACGTAAAAGAACCTGTGAAAAACAAAGTGAAAAATAAGGTGAGAAAGATAAAAGAGAAGCCTGCTGTAGCTAAAAAAATTAAAAAAGCAAAATTTGTAAAATGAATGAATGAATTGTTTCCCCTCGGGGATTACAAGGCGTTTTTAAAAAAGTTATAAATTTTCTCTCGCGAATATCTCACCAAGTATTAATGGCAAATAAAAAAATGTTTCGGACAAAAGTTGTTCGTATTAATTAGTATTCGTACCTGATGCAGCTACGGACGGTGGCGGGTGGATTTAACGGGACGTGGTGAAACCCGACTAGGCAACGCTCCGGCGAGAGAAACGAGCGCGCCGAGTCCAACGTCGGCCGTCGCGCTCGGTGAACACACGAACGGCACGAATCGCGGAGAGGTTAGGATCTCTGTTTCCTCACCTACCATTGGTCCCTTCGCCCGGGATCCGGCATGGAGCCAATGGCAAGAGCCAATGGCCTTCGGGCATCGTCGAGCAGTTAACCCATTTCGTGTCGTGGCATAGCAGCGCGAACACGTGTTGTTTCGGGTAACCCTCGCTCTCTCGTGCGGTTAGGAAACCATAGAAAACTATTGTCGCCTTTATTCTTACTTCTCGTTTGTTCTTAGAATGGCGAAGAAGAAACTGAAGCAGAAGGAAGACGAGGTGGAGGAGGTTACGTCGGACGAACCTGCCGCTAAGAAGGTATGCGAATAACCTAAATGTTACTACTAGAGCTGTGAAATTTTCATGTTATTTTCTGGCATTGCTTTGCGTTTTGCTTTTCCAGATCTTGCGTTATTTTCGTGTTATTTTTTAATACCTCTTGCGTTTTGTTTCGCCGGATTTTACATTACTTTCACAATGTCTTTGATAATGCCGTGACCAGAGGCGTGCAGGGCTTCAATGAGACGACTTGGGGCCCGGTTTCACCGACGTCGCTTAACTTTAAACTTAGTTTAATTCGCTCTCCGTCTCTCTCTAACTGTTACCTCAGAAAGAGGCAAAGAACGAATCGAGCTAACCATAAAGCCAAGCAACGTTGGGAAAACCGGGTCTCAATGTTTTGATAGAACAATTTGCGACATTTCTTAAGGAACAAGTTACTGAAATTACACATCGTTTTCAAGCTATGAAAGCAGCAACGTGTCTAAAAAGAAGTAAACCAAAAACTAGTCTTAAACATAAGTCTCTATGGTTTAAGACACAACATTGATGTTGCTTGAATGCTATTTTGCGTGTTGAGGGTCATTTTGCGTTTTAAAAACGTGTTAAAACGAAGTTGGAGACTCCAAGATGTCAAGAAATAACATTAAAAACGTTCCTGGGGCATTTTGCGACATTTTGCGTATAAAGATAACATCAAAATGTCACACCTCCAGTTATTACTTCATGTAACTTCATCATTGTCGAGCGTTGAACCTAATCCACAGTGTATTGTTCTCATCTAGAAACATTCCATTTTATATAAACAGATTAAAACGCTTAAGCAGTTATCGACAATTGTATGATTGTACAATGTATACTGTACAATTTATAAACGCACAAATTTTTTAAACATTGACCACACAATAGACTGTTCCTAGGCGCAAAGAGCACATTGTAGACCAGGCTTGAGTTTAAACGAACAGAAATATGTTTTAGAAGATACATCGAGAGGTTCTTTTCAAGCAACGTGTTCAATGAGACCCGTCGAGTTAAAGATTCGAAGGAACAATTAGGGCTTGTCTCTCTTTGTTACCGCTTGTAATAGATTTGTTTTACGGATTTGTCTAGCAGTGAAAAGTAAGATTTAAACGACAATTTTCTCGCCCAGGTGAAATGGATCAACAGACAACGGGTGCTGGTGTTTGCGACTCGAGGTATCAACCACAGGCATCGACATCTCATGGAGGACCTGAGGAAACTGATGCCGCATCACCGTGCGGAGTGCAAGATGGAACGCAGCAGGAACCTGCAAGTGGTGAACGAGATGTGCGAGATGAAACACTGCAACAAGGCTGTCCTGTTCGAAGGCCGGATGAAGCGAGATCTTTACGTGTGGCTCGCCAATGTGCCCACTGGCCCGAGCGCAAAGTTTCTCGTAGAGAATAGTAATTATTATTTACACTATTGTTAATGCAATATGTATAGATTTTAGAGAACATTGTATAATAATTATTTGACTCTCTGCAGTTCATACAATGGGAGAGCTGAAGATGACAGGAAACTGCTTGAGGGGCTCTCGGCCGTTACTGTCGTTTGATGAAAATTTTACTACTCACGCGCACTACATTCTTCTGAAGGAATTGCTGACGCAGATCTTTGGTGTGCCAAATCATCATCCTAAAAGCCAGCCGTTCATCGATCATGTATACACGTTTACTATTCTGGACAACAGGATATGGTTTCGAAATTTCCAAATCTTAACGGAGGACGGCGCATTGACCGAAATTGGCCCGAGGTTCGTCTTGAATCCGGTCAAGATATTCGGTGGGAGTTTCGGCAGTGACACCTTGTGGGATAATCCCCATTATATTTCCCCTGCTAAGGTAACACAACGTTATATTTTGTATTTGATGCGTACACTACTATGATTGACTTGGTTTTATTATTATCTGTAAAATATTGTATCTCTTATTATTTAAAAACTTTCAGTTTCGGCAATCCTTGAAGAAGAAGGCTGCCAACAATTATACAAACAGAGTGGAGCAGAAAATGGTACGACAGGCAACTAAACCAGAATTCTCTTATGCATTTAATCCCACAGATGAGATATTTAAGGGTGATGCATTGGAGAAAGCAATAGAAATGGAAGAAAAATTTAAGACTGATAAAAGTGAAAACGTAAAAGAACCTGTGAAAATCAAAGGGAAAAATAAGGTGAGACAGATAAAAAAGAAGCCTGCTGTAGCTAAAAAAGGTAAAAAAGCAAAATTTGTAAAATCAAAAGCTTTAAAGAAGAAGATAAAATAAATGTAATGATTTTGTAATACTGTTAATAAAAAATATGATAAAGTCTAAATAAGAATGTTCTTTTGTATTACAGAGAATTATTTAACATCTATATTTAAGACAAGTAAAATTAATATGATTTTAAACAATAAATAAAATCTCACTTTTAAGTGATTTTATGTTAGATCTATTTATGAAATAAATGTGTTTAATACTAATATTTGCGAAACAAGGATATCCGATAAAATGTTTACTACAGAAGAAGAAATAATTTCTTACGTTTTATGGGTGTTTGATTAGCATTCAATATAGAATGATAAAAATAAATTTCCCAGTTTTTATTTTATTCATATGATGTATAATTTCATGAAGAGTAACTGAATAATCTTACGACATATTAATCGCATACACAATATTAAGTATATATATGTATAAATATATAATAAACTTTGAATTTTCTTTAAAAGTATTGTGCCTGCAAATTCTTTAGATACAATCTACCGACAAAAATTTCTCTCCAATTACGAACATGTATATTTGGGAAAAATACACTGCTTAATATTCTGGTCGGTGATGTGATGTATTATTAATATCGTTGAATATTGAGAATTTCTTGATTCATACTATTTTGTACTTCGTTATTCATATGTCCAGCTTATTTTAAATTTATCTTAGAGATACATGTGTATATATTTTTAGCTTATCTCGTACAAATAGCTGCTTAATACATTTTATTAAAATAGCTTAAAATATTTTGTACATCAAAATATGAAAGCCTCTTATCATCTAAAGGTGTAAATTAAATTTTCAATTATTTTATTTCAAAATATCTGGAAGGAATGAAAATTGTGTAAAGTTTAGAAAATAGATTTTCCATTTACGACATCAATATAATGAATAATCTTGCACATGGAAAATTTTTCGACTACAAATAATTGCACTTTGTTGCATAGGTCTTTGTAATAATTGTACTTTCTTTGTAACATTGACTTGCACTTGCCTTTTTTTTATGTGCATTTAAAATCTACAAATATTAGTACCTTATTCTCTTATTACAACAAATATCTTTAAGACACAGAGTTTTTAGCTTGTGCAATGGCACTCTGATGATACAAAGTTTAGAAAAGACTAATAAATCTAATCTATATTTTGCTCATTGCATCATCAATTCGATATACAGTATTGAATAATCAATAAAATACACACATTCCATAAAATAAAATATTCTTATAAAACACATTATCGTAGTTTAATCTCTTTTTCAATGATTCTAGTGAATATTATAAAATATTATTTAGTATCTTAAAATCTGGCAGTTAAATCAAAAGTTAGCGCTAAGTACAAGCTGATCTTAAAGTACGTAATTAATTGACGCCATTTTGGTTAACAAGCATAATTCGTTCACATTATCAAATAGTAAATTATTTGTTGTGTGTGCGATTACGAGATTTTTGCATACCAATTAAAATTATCCAAGCATCCTTAAGATAGCAAAAAATTAAACAATAATTCCAAAAATTTTGGCAATGATTTATCACAAAAGAAAACCTATAGTCCTAAGAGATAAACGTTCATACTTTAAACACCAAACAAAAAGAAATTACGACATTGTAAAATCACGTACAATTAGATAGAAGTAGACATTTCGCTTTATAATAGTATTGTTATCCATATATCTCGTAATATATTAAAAATATGTTATGAACGATCATACATATATCTTCACATGATTGAAATATATCTAACCACATTATAAAAATAGCTCTCGAGACAAGTTTCTTGTAAAGTTATTTGCAATACAAACATTGCACGCGTGAACATCGAAAGGAATGTACTCTCATTAGTCCTTATTAGTCCTATTAGATGCACGAGTGAGATAATGCAAAAGTAAGTATTCTATTATATAAAAAAAACTGTGTGTACAAAAATGTGTATGAAAAAGATATGTTTAAGGTATCAGATACTTATTCGTTCATCGGTGTCATTTCTTGAGACTGCTGTCCGTTTGCATTGCTGCTAGAGGCTCCGAGTTGTGCCAACGCAGACTGACGCCACTTTCCGTTTTCTCCGTTCAAATTCTTGTCCTCGCACACGCATAGGAACAACGTGTCAATAACCGTCTAAAACAACGAATTAATTCATTATGAAAGATCTTACTTAATAAATCATTCTCACATGAGATGTACTGATTGATATATGACGCGTGTTTTGCTCACCTCGTAAAGAGAAATTATACAATGAGCGATGAAAAATGAAAAAACGCAAACGATGAAGATCGGAATGGCGTAAAAGTGTAGATCAGGATCTTGTCTCATGAGAAGCAATGCGACGCTTCCGGTTGCAGCTGTAACGAAACACTTTCCCAGGAACAATATAAAATCGCCGAATCCATTGATCACGGCTATTTGAAGAGCGTTATTGACGAGTGTCGTATAGGCCTTAAAGAAAATACAAATTTACAGATATAAGACAAATTTGTACACATCTTGTTATATTAATAACATATGTTACTCTATTATAAAGTATTACACCTATTATTTCTTTTCAATCTCTGCTCGTTATAAATATAAAAGTGTTAGAACGTACTATTCTGGCCGCGTTGCAAAAGTGGGTGCCCTCTATAGCAACAACGGTGTACGCATTATGATTCATATATCGAATGAATTTCTCCAGGCAGTAGAAACAGCAAATGCAGAACTTCATGCCACACTGAGCGCATGGAGATGTTTCCTTAGTTTTTTCAAATCTGCAAAAGAGAAGCTCACATGTACTTAGGAATCTAATCAAGGAACCGAAAGATCCTTGATAGAAAATGCGGATCATTAGATCTGGTTCCTTTCCTTTACGGAGAAACTTACTTGGCGTGCAGATACGTTAAAATCAATCGAGGCAACTTAAAAATGGTTATCAAAAGTGATCCGCACGCCACGGAGCCCATGTGATAGCAGACTAAATGTCCTATGGATGAACACACTGGAAACGAGCTGCTGTTTTTACCTCTAATAAAGAAAATTGGCGATTAATAATTAATAAAGTATACCTGACATAATCCTACATCAGTGTGTTGTAAAATATTACCTAAAGTACCAGTGGGCAACAGAACCCGCTATTACCATGTCTTGACACCCAACAATAAATTCCGATATCCATATCAGTCCTATAAGATACACCCACCACATGTATTTCACCCAAGTCGCGTCAACGTATTCCACGAGAGTGAAAGCTAAAATGTTTAATAACCTATTTTATTTGATTTTCTGTATGATTTATAAGATACGCATGTGTACGCAATGTATGAAACGATATATTACTTTTGAAAGAATCAAGAGAAAAATCTATTTTTTTCTCCTCAATTAATGGAGCGTTTGCACCAATCATGCTCAAGTTCACAGGATCAAATATTGCGTTTTTGTACATCTGCACTGATTTTGTCTCGGGATAATCTGTAACGAAGCACAGAAAAGTTATTTTTGGTCACAAAATAAACTTGTTTCCTGACGAAATACTGCAAGGTACCTACTTGCTGTTGCAAGACAAAGAATTACAAATACCCAAAAGGCAAAAAACAATATCAAAGATATAAATGTTAAGATTGGCTGGACAAATAGGCCCGGTAGTTCTTTTAAACATTTTGCACTCTCTTTGAACAGCGCCGCCATAAAGCTGATGCGTTTGCGTAATATACATGAAAGAAACAGTAAAATTACCTGCAAGATAAAAGATTGTTATCAGAAAGAGAATAATCTGTTATTTGTAATAAAATATTAATAAATGCATGCGTGTATACATATCTTCCTTTTTTTCATTATAAAAGGATACTTACAGTGATAATAGTAGCGATAATGGAAAATGCGAGAAATGCTCTTTCATTTCTGACAGCTTCTTCAAGAAGTTCGTTTGGATCAGTTTTGTCCAAGGTTTTCTTAATATCAACATACGTCATCCATAAAAGAACAGTGCCAACTATGACATAATATGTTTCTTATAATAAAACTTGAATAATTTTTATTATTGCTACAAATAAATATAGAGGAAAGTCCCCTATTATATACGAGATAGGATCTTAACATGAAATAGCGAGATTTCTACTGAATTAATAGATATCATCTGTTGGCTCCACCATGAACTTATTGCTCTTGGAGTGAGATCTGTTTAATGAAACATTCATTGTTAGATCGTGTGATCGTCGCGAAAAAAGATTTGTGATTGAATTTGTATGTTGAAAACCTGCTATCTGATATTAGAAGTCTCATCTCATAATAGGAAACTTTCTTGTATACATATATATATATTTATTGAGAAAATCTTCTCATATTATCTTTCCCAAATGTAACTCACCTGTGGAAGCAATGCTCACAAGCACGATTACAATCCACGTCACCATAGTTGCCATTAAATGAAAGATGGCTATCGTAAAGAAAGATAAAACTGGAAGAAAATAATCAACTGAGTATGCAGCTTGTATGTATTCGGTGTCATGCGACAATACGCTAAATTCCTACCACAGGCGAGGAAAGCCAGCGCCAGAATGTGCTTCCAGGTTTTGCACAGGTCTCCCAAGACCTGCTCGATCACGTCCCACGAGTTGATTACGCCGTACAAGTTGGAGATTATTGTCTCGCTCACTTCCTTCACCGCCTTAGGTATGCAGCGATTTAAAACGGGCGTGCTGGGGTAGACCGGTCGCTCGGGGCAAGACCCGTTCTTGAACATACTGCTCTGGTTCTTGCACGCGCTGAAATCACCGCCCGGCCTGTCGTGGCACAGCTGCGATCCCGTCTCTTTGTAAAATTTACAGATGTCCTCGATGGTCGACAGAATTCGGTCGGGGCATTTCTTCACGCAAATCTTCAATGACTGCGTGACATTACTTATATCCAGGAAGAACAGGTATCTGAAGCGTGACAAAGTGTGGGTTTTCAGAAGAGCGGTCGCCAGGAATGGACGCTCTAAATATAAATCAGAGGGAAATGTGTGAGACTGACGGCTTGTCGCTGGTATCTTGCCCGGAAAGCTCCATGCTGCCGAACTTTGGGTTGTTCTTCACGCCGCACGTGTTCCCGAAACTGTCGTATCCATTTATGAGCCGTATGGGATTGCCGTAGACTATCGCGAAGGCAGCGATCAAGATCTGTAGGCAAATAAATGTTCGCGTCAGACAACAAGCTCCAAAAAGGTTCACTTGTAAAAGCTACAAATCACAAGCAAGAAAAAGTGCCCTTTTCTCAGCGGAACAACAATTTGGGAATCCTAAAGTTCTATGCCAAACTGTCATACATCATCAATCAGACATCAGTCAAACGAGCAATACGTTAACAGCTGCAGTTTTGCCAGCAGGAACGCAAGCGGAAATTGCGGGCAGATCGAGCCCAACCGCGTTCACACAAACTCGTGCCCCGATGGCAGACCTTGTGACGTAACGTAACAGCAGACAGATGACAGAAGACCAACTGGAGCCTGTTGGACGAAAGCACGTCCAAATCTACTTAAGCCCGCCGTCGTGTTTCATTGACCAACTTCTCCATCACGTACGTCAGACTCCACGCCAGATAGTCTCTCTCCGCCGACAAAACTTGTAGTGATATAAACGCTCTGCGGACTCTGTCTTCGTGACACCCGGCTGTCGCGGATAAGCCCGAAGGGTCGCCGGCCGTGCGGACGCTCTTCGTGAAAGTAAGAAAAGGAGAAACGAACGCGTGGCACGTCGGGGCGGGTGTGTAGCGTCAACTGTGTGCATACCATGAGAAACCAGAACGCGACGAAGAGGCAGAGCCAGACGACGTCGGTGCATCCTCGCACCCGCGTCGGCTCGGCGCGCTCCTCGCTCTTGCTACCGGTGCAGCAGGACATCCTCTCCGTCTGTTACCGCCCGCACCGTCGCCGCCGCCGCCACCGCGCTCAAGCAGCCAAGGCACCTGTTCCCGCGGAGACGTTATTGTTGCCGCCGCGCGCGCGTCCCTTTTGATTCGCACCGTACGCGGAGTACAACGCCCAGTGCCGTAACCGTTAGGGCGTTAGCTGGCAAAGGCGCCTCCGCCCCTTCCGCACTCGTGTCCGATCGCAATGGCGGTGCGGCGGATGCTCCTTTTTTTTTATCAACGCGGATTAACTTCGAGCTCGGTTCGACTTACTTGAAAGTGTAGGTTGAACCGGGGTCAATTCGCATCGCTAGAAATGGACATGGATTTTTACCATCCAATTCTTGCCAAGCTGAGCTTAGAGTTAAGCGACGTAGATGTCTTCGTGACGCCGTTTAGACACGCATTGCTATCTGGAGTACGTTGGACCGAGATTAAAGTTATCGGAAAAAATGGATATTGATTTTTATCAAAATTTCTAATGTCCATTTCCGCCAATGCGGACGTGACTTTGATCTCCGTTTAATTCATGTTTTTTTTCGTCCTTTTCTCGTTTCAATAATTGGAAAAGAATAGTGAGGATCCAATCAACATTAAACTTAATCTACATTGACGAAAATGAACTACTGTCACCTGCGACGGGCGCCGCGACCGCTACGTACGGCCCTGCGCTCCGCGTTCCGGCGTAATATCGTTTCCACGGCAACGAACGCGTACTTACGTCGCATGGGGATAAACGTTTCAATGAATGGCCGTCGCGCCCGTTGATTGACGGGGGGGGGGGGGGTGGGGCTGCCCTTCTCGCGCGTGCGCCAACTCAACGGCGACGGGTAATGAACTTTCAAAGAAGCCTAACCGCGATTGTAGAAAGTAATGGACTGGTAATCGGCAGATTCTTACGCTCGCAAAGGGTCGATTGAAAAGTAACGGCTGAAAGGACTAGCGTAGCGCCACGTCCGAAGGCTCCGAACTGGACACGAATGTCCGAGGAGGAGTAGGAGGAGGAGGAGGAAGAAGAAAGCCGAGTTGCTTCAGTTGCTTGTCGATTCTCGCCGGGCGAAATGTACAAACGTCACCTTCGTTCGTTAATTTATGCTGGTTTCGCTTGATTCGATAGTAACAACCCTAGCAGCACAATATATTGGCGCGATATTGGGAAATCATGTAAATCTAGTGTTCTTAATGTTGGTTTAATGTTGTAAGATGGACGCCTTTAACCAATATATTTATTTACCAATATTGGTCTAATATTGTGTCAATGGATTTGTTTTCTGTTCCTGCACTGGTGAACTAGTGCAGTAAGCTAGAATGAGAAAAAATATGCTTGTCTTACTCCAATTTATTGCACTAGTTCACTAGTGTAGGAACAGAAAACAAGCCTAAGATTAGACCAATATTGCTGTATCGGACCAATGGCGCGATATTGGGAAATAATGTAAATCTAGTATTTCCAATATTGATCGAATGTTGCAAGATGGGGCCTTTAACCAATATGTCTGTTTAGCAACATTGGTCTAACGTTTTGTCAATATTGGACCGATATTGCTATACTGGGCCAATATTGACACAATATTAGACCAATAATGTTGCTACATTGTTGAGTATCGGCCAATGCACTTCCAATACAAATCTAGTGTTAGACTGTAATCATTGTCGTGCAATGTTTATATTTATTTCATGGCCAATATTGGCTCTACGTTGAACAATATCGGCCAATGCATCTTTAATGTAACCAACATTGGACCAATATTTAGGCAATGTTTTATAGCCAATGCACTACTAGGGAATGATATTTAAATTTAATATTATATTGTTCACATTTTATTAACGGGACGGAAATTCTGAAAGTGCAAAATGTGTTTTCAGCCGAAGATGGAGATTGTTGCGTCAATAAGAACGTATTACGACTTTCTGGTAAACTGCGGCTCTGTCATATATTCGAACAGAGTATTTCAGTGTTGACGTTCGACGCTCATGCGCGTCCGTGCTCCGTTTATCACAGTCTATCAACAGACCGATCGCGCCGCCCGACCGCACGGATCGCCGACGGCATGTTGTGATAACATTCGCTATTTGGCGGCACTAGACGAGACAAACGCACCCCGTTTGATCAGGCTCCAATTGTGAGTATCGCCATTCGCGGTGAGTCTCGCCCTTCCAACGAATCGTCGCCTTTGTCCGCCGAGAAGCGCCGGGATTACCGTCTGGAACGTAACCTAAACGTTACCGATCAGGGAGCGCCAGGAATTCGATCTTCCCCGAGGAAACGCTAGCTTGGCGACATGAACATTGTTTCTGACTCAGACTCCGAATGTACATTTCATCGTTCTCAATTTAAATCTTCTAAGTGTTATGTCCTAATCGTTGAAAATTTACGTGGCTTGTGTCTCGTGGATCAGCTGCAAACAATGCACAAATAAATTGCTGGTGGTTATCCTCTCTTCTGTTGATAAATTCTTATTGAAAGAGAAATTGGACATTGTTATTCGTAAAAGCAAGCAAACAGTTTGATCTGCCGGGATATCAAGGTATGGGCGAACTGGTTATGATGGAGTCAAGTCTGACATTTTCATTTCAGTGATGGAGGAGAATGGAGGTAAGAGAATGAGGGGCAGAGCTCGTGGCAGAGCTCGCGGACGTGCCCGGGGACGAACTAGAGGACGAACCAAGAAGCAGGTCAAGGTAAATCTCAGAGTGGCTGCCATATAAATGTTGCAGCCAAGAGTATATTGTGCGCCTTTGAAATTTCCATTCTGTCAGTAAAGTGTGAACAATTTTGTTAAATTACGTTCGAAGATCAGTACGAATAATTCGTGCAATCGCAGAACTGATTTCGCCATTTACAGAACTGAGCTCGTCTTCTACGCAATAGAGCTTCCCCTGTCGATATTGTTACCCGATGTGACCGGCTTTTTAAGATAAATTTATGTAACAAGTAACAAGCACTTGTGTTTTCGACCAAACTGCAATTCGATGTACGGCACTGACGCATTGAAACCGCTCGCAGGTCATTGAAAGCGACGATGAGGACACTCCGCAACAAGCGGAGGACAACTCCGTGGAAGCGGTCGGCGGCGAGCAGGACGAACACGAGCCCCCCGTGACTCAGCAGCCTTCTCTCGAGCAGTTTGACCTGGAGGCAGACATATCGCAGCTGGAAGCGCCGACCTTCACGACCATCAACCGCGGCCCGCCCGAGCCGATGCTGCGCCTGAGATGGGACCATCGGGTGAATCTTATAGGGGAGAAAGTGCTGAATCCTATGATACATTGCTGCGACAAGTGTTTGAAGCCTATTCTCATATATGGCCGTATGGTACGTTTCGCTCCGTTCAAGTGGACTAAGGGATTTACACGTGTCAGCATTAGATGCTCTTATCAGAGTCTTTTGGTATCTTGACTTTGTGTCATCCAAAATACGGAGTCGAGATGACTCTTAAATTTATTCAACCAAGAGGTGCAGATGCACTTGTATCTCTTAAATTCCTTTGATTTGAGATATAAAGTCTGTTCGCGCCCGCATGCCCCACGTGCTCCGTTTGCCCCAACGGCTGGTACCGTTATTTTATTTACGATTTAAGTGACGGTATTGGTTGTTGGGGTAAGCAGGAGCATGTTGGGGCATGCGACGCGGATAGACCTATTGACACAAGATGCACTCGTTATTTTTTCGAAGACTGATATCAATACAAAAGTAGATACAGGTAAATTTGTATTGGCGTCTTTTAAAATAAAGATACCAAGCTTTGGATACTAAGATGGGTGTTACCTGATTATCACTCACCTTATACTCTTTTGTGTTTATATTATCTATGTTATTCACATAAAATGATCTTATTCACAAGTCTCATACCGAAATATATGTTATGACGGTCTGGAACCTGAGAGTCGTCAATTGTGAATGATCGCTCCACGTGGAGCGATCTCCTATCTCTAGTTAAATTAACTCCTAATTATTGCGTTACATTTTCTCAAATCTACATTTAATATAATTTTCAGATACCCTGCAAACATGTATTCTGCCTGTCTTGTGCCAAGAGAGAAGACAAAGTCTGTCCTCGTTGTGTGGAGAAGGTATCCAGAGTGGAGCAAACCGGTCTGGGTACCGTATTCATGTGTACGCATGGTGGAACGAGATATGGGAATGCTGGATGCAGGAGAACGTACCTGAGCCAACGAGATTTACAGGTGAATATAAATAAATGCCAATAAAATTATACGTTGAGCGCGCAAGGAAGTTTTTGTACAATATATGATTAGTTAACGATGTAATGAAATTAGAGCTTTAAAAATATTGTTACATCCAAAATTTTTGTATTCACTCGCGTGAACGGGAAGAATTCAAAGGATCAACAATCTTCGTAGCAGAACAGAACATTATTCAACTCAACAGAGTACGAGACGTTATGGGTAGATTATTAGAGCTGTTTGCAACAAATCCGAGAGCTGCGCCAAGTCAAATCAAACTCCAATGATTATTTATCATTAAACTATCTTAGGCTGCGGTCCATTCGCTGCTGCAAATGCTTCAAAGCAGATTTCTTTGTCCTGATTGACTAATCAAACTTTTTACTTGGAAACACTTGTAGGTTTAAGTGGATCGCAGCTCTTCGTGCCATGAAAAATGTGAACACAATAATTATATAAGAAATGTCATATAAAATGTAATGCACTTTACAATTTACCGCAGGCTCATATTAATCATCGGCATATATCGGCGCCACAACCAGTCCAAGGAATGCAGGTCGATCCTCCGCAATACGTGCACGCCAAGCCGGAGATGGAGTCGCAGCTGACGAAAGTGTCCTCCGTGCAGATGCAGAACACGCGGCTCAAATCCGTGCAATCGCACATGGTTCAACCGATCATGGGTAACGACCCACGTGTGAATTCGCTGGTGAATCAGCAGCCGACGTTAGAGCAACATCGGCAGCAGCACAGGCAGCAGCAGCAGCAGCAGCAGCAGCAACAGCAGCAGCAGCAGCAGCAACAACAACAACAGCAACAGCAGGCGATGATGTCGATGCAAAGTTACGCGCAAAGCGCCGCACCGCCACCGCCACCCCCAAGTAACGCTCCGATGCGGACCAATCTCATCACTGTACAGATCCAGGATACGGCGTCCCTGGCCGCGCACGATCTTCACTCACAGCAGAGTCATCATTATTATCCTGCGCCACCGCCGCCGCCTCCGCCGCCGCCACCGCCGGTTAATTACGGCGGTTATAATGTGCCACCGCCGGTGTCGCAGCCAACGCAACAGTACTATCCGCAGCCGCAGCATCCCACTCAGGTGTCCTATGTGCCGCCACCGCCGCCACCGCAGCAGCAGCAATATGTGTCGTCGGCGCAGACTTCCCTACGACCATCACCTACCGGTTATATCCAGGAACCTCAATACGGTCCACCGTCTCAGCAACAACCTCCACCGCCACCGCAGCCACAGTGGTCGCAACATCAACAGCAGTTTTATAGATAAAAAAAGGACGAGAGTGCCGCTGGCATTGGTGATAAAGTAGTCGTAAACGATGTGAGGCTTGACACTCAATCCTGTCTCGCATATATTTCTCTGAATGGAAAAATATTTTTCCATTCAAATAAGAAATATATTTAAAAAATAAACTCAAGATTATTTTATTTCGAATCTGTTGATTCTGTGCTCCTTTAACGAAATCTGATAATCCTAATAACATAGGAAAAAGGAAATGCTATATATTGGTTGTCATAAATGTGCTTATATCGGAGCTTTAATTAATAATTCCCTTATGAAGGAAGATGTAGAAATTATAGAAATGTATATAATTTCCCAATATATTTATAATGTACAATGATTCAGATAATAGTGAATATTGAATTGCAGCAATAAAATTCTTTTTACTATCACGCGCATCTGTATCTACACGTAGGTAGTTGATTTTGTATTTCAATATTTACATATATAATTATCTGAATTACTTTACAATTATAAATAAATTGCAAAATTGAAGTGTCTCTTACCATATATTCTATAAACGCTTAAACTTAATTAAGTCATTTAAAAAGCACAAAATTTCAAGAATCCACAAGTTTTCGTACCAAACCTAATCTATATAATATATGTATATGTATAATATGCATATGTATAATATGCATATACAAGTCTCCAAATGCTTATGACATATATTTTAGATTATTTTATATATATTATGACTACATAGTTTTATGTCTGGTAAGAGACACATCATTTTAATTTTGCAATAAAATTGATTTAGCTTTTATTATAACTTTATCGGAATTTTTCGACATTTTACTGATAAAATCAGACGCATCGGTATTTTTTATGTTCTATTAAACATTGCTGGCGTTCCATCATAAAGATTTAATTAAAATATATACATTTATTATTTTGAGTTATCGCCAGCAGTTTATAATATATTTGTAAATTTGGTACAAGACGTTAATAATGAAATCATATCTCTTGATAAAAGGTGTATTAATTGTTTTTAAGTGTTGTAATTGTTCCAACATTTGGAATATATTTACAGATTTATTTAAAACATTTCCCAAACCTCCGAGTTGTTTTCTCTTCCGACCACGTTGACTGTAAAGTATATTGGTAATAAAGTCAATAAAGATATTTTGTCGGTAGAATTTAATATTGTACAGATTGTAACGATTGTAACTTATGTACAAAATTAATGATATTATATATATATATAACATGTACATATGCATGTAATAATTACATTAGATTCTTAAAACATGCTCTCTTCCTGTGAATTCAACAAATACTCATATTCACACTCAATTAATTTTGGCCTTCCATTTTTCAGACAGTAATAAATATTAGTTGACTAAATACTCATAATAAAAGTACTTAAAAGATCGTCGATAACATTGCGTTAAACAGACGGCCAAAATTACTCGGAACACATACAACCACGTAGTTTCAAAATTTTACACCATACATAAAAATAGCTTTTAATATCATTCCATTATATGTAAATGGAATGATTATATATAGCAACTTTGCTATACATAATCACTGCCCCTTTTTAATAACTCTTGTTCCCTTTACATAAATCTTTAAGTATATTTACAACTTCGTCTGTAATCGTGAAGTTTTATATACAAGATATCTCATTATTCGTTACAGTTATTATTTTTAAAACTATCTTCCACCCCCGTCACGCACTCCCGTTTATGTATATACGAATGTATCTATGAATGAATGAAAAATGTTATACATTTTATAACATTAACTACGCAATTTACATAAAATAAACGATCCTGTACAAAATAAAATTATGCAATCTAAACTGAAAATTTTATACATTTTCATGTATAACATCGGAAACTTAAAAAACTAGAGCTGATGATAAGAAAGCAAATTAATGTTATATTCTATGTCGATTATAATGATTTAGAACATTTTATTGGAAAAATATAGATATATATATATGTTTTAATTTAAATGTAAACGTGCAGAACTTTCCCTGCACATCTTCATAACTAGCCGATTTCAACATATACATGTATAAGTTAAACATTGACATAATATCCAATCTCTTCCGCGTTTTCGACAGTACAAAATTTATTTTAAAGCAAGATTGAATTTTCACTTTCTTCAATTTTAATGTTTTCTTGACAGAATTACGTTGCTGTGTGTATTGCACTGGAAGTATCTAATTATCTCGTCATCTAATCATCATTGGACTTTTTGATGGAATAGTGTGCTCTAATCATATGGCACTGTAAACCTATGAGGTCGCCTTTTTATGTGACATTAAAATTCTCATGTCATAATTTTTTTACACCATCTTTAGTATAACAAAGAATTGTTTCGTTTCTTGGAAAAGAGCATCGTAAGATACCTTGATTTTTACCTTTCTCACATGTCGATACAAAACTTTTAAAGATTATTTACTTTTTAAACTGGCATTAATGTGACAAGATACTCAATAAAGAGTATAATCCCATAATTCATTATATGCAACGATATTTTATAGTGAAAGACACTTTATTAGTACACAAAAATAAATATATAAAAGTTTCAAGAAATATGACGTACCGTTTTTATTTATTAAGCATTTCTCTTGAATGGCAGTATATTAATTTCCAATCAGAAATTTTTGTTTCTAACGTATTGTAAAATGAAACTCTCAACTCTGCGTGGAGGAGTAAGATGAAAAACTTGCAATTTATATTCGCATCAAAATAGTTACTGACTTAAGATCTCCCTATCGGATTACATAAGCTATTTAATGTACAATTTTTCCACGGTATTGTATTTCATCATACGTGAATATTATATGAATAAATAAATAATTTAGTGTATATAAAAATAGTTAATGAACTGAATCCTACATATATTAGTTTTATGAAGTTCAACTGTATCCGCTCTCCGCGAAAAACAAATTTTTAGTACTTATATTGATAACCCGCTCTATATTTACAGATACACGATTAAAAAAATAGGATTTGTACCCATTATCGAGTATAGCCATATTACAAGCCTGCGCCTCACACTTGTGTTTAGAAGCTTTCCAGTGTAATTTGTAAACCTATTGAAATCAGTCAGTCTCGTATAATCACGTACTGCTAGAGGGATGATTATGTATATTGACATTGACTTGTGGAATGAGTGGAGATGCGAGCGGTTTGGGTGTGGTGGACTCGGGTATCGGTATGGAGACCGCGGGAGGCACTGGGGAGTGTTTCTTCGCCCTGTCCGGTTGCCAAGGTTTCGCGTGGTCTCTGCTCAATCTCTCGCTCAGCGCTTTCAACGCTATCTGCCTGCAAAGTGGACATCGTTCGGAAGGATGAGAAAACGGCACGTGACGACTCGCGACACGTTACTCATTGAGAATCGGGGCTGCGAGCATTCATTTGTCCCGCGACTACTCACCGGCGTCGCTCGCTGTCGTGAGGATCGATACCAGGAAGATTGATAACCAAGCCGGGCGGCGTGTTGGACATGTCGAATCTTCTCACTACTTTTCGGCACAGTCCGATACGCACGAAAAACCCGTGTATGGTGTTACTCACCACGGCTATCGGTGGCTGCAGGACATTTGGGAAGAAACTGCGGGGGGGAAAAGTTCCAAGGTAAGGCGAGATCGGACTCCAAATATCTTACGGATATTGATCCAAACCGAAGAGCTCTCACCTCGCGAACGTAAAGTTGTCCGCCATGTCCCCTCGAGTGCCGTTGTTGTGCTTTTGATAAAATCTCAGGTATGTCCAGGATATCAACAGTCCGCTGAGGAACATGGTGGGATGAGTACCCTCCAGCAGGCCGACGAGCCACAATATCAATCCCACGATCCACACCATCAAGGGTATATTTCTGTTGGTGATCTTCCCAATAGGTGTCTTCACCAAGATATGATCTGGCATTATTTGCTTCACCGCCACCGCGACTCCTGCGGAATAAGATTCTCTGTGTAGCTGCAGCTGCATCGAAGCGTATTTCTAAGAAATTCCCTTTTCAAGGAGAAATCTTCTCGCAAAGAGAAGGCTCTTGTTAGAAAGGGCATCATTCTGGACTATTTAACGCGCAGACGATAAAAAGTAACACTAAATTGTACCGACGCCGCAGCCTGACCTACAATGTGCTCTTTGCTTCTGGAAACGTTCGATCTTAAGAGGCGAATCAAGGTTTAAAAAATTTGTTGACAGCGTACGACTGATAATGTACAATTTATCAAGTTGCACTAGTGTTCTCAACGTTTCGCCACAAAATAGAACATTTCTAGGCGCAAAGAGCGCGTTGTAGATCGGCAGAAAGTCCGTTACGCAAAAATTGCGCCCGCGACAGTGCACGAAAGGACGAGCCGAGCGTCGACGGGAGAAGAGTACCTGCGATGTAGCCGGTCAGACCGTGTATGTGTATGTTGAAGAGCAGGTCCGGGTTGTTGGTGCACATGTAGAGGAACAGGTAGAAGAGCGCCGAGAGCACGGCGACGCCGAAGTTGACGATGGCGAAGAACGTCATCATCTCGAAGGCGCCCCAGAGGGGCTCGATCAGCTTGCCGCAGAGGCCGACGGTGACGATGTCCACGCACACCTCCCAGAAGTGTATCTCGAGGAAGCAGAAGCTGAAGGCCGTCCAGAACCAGAAGACCGGCGGCAGCAGGTAACCTGGCGTGACGCTCAGGATGCGCACCGCCTCCTCGGAGAAGGACAGGCAGTAGGAAAACAGCACCACCACGCAGATCGACTTGACGCTGGTGCTGGTGTTGCCGAGCAGGGCCGCGGCCTGTTGCCGCAGGTAAGGGATGTTCCTGCCCAGGCCCTTTATCGCCGCCATCGCCGCGAGCGCAAGCCTAACCTCACTTTTCTCGCGCCTCCTCTCTGGAAGAGAGGAAAAGCTACCCACACTCGGGGCTGCCAGATATTTAAACTGTCAAATCGCCATTAGAGGTCACCCAAATCGCCAAAGTCGCCATTGGAGGTCAATTGTAGAATGGCCTTAAGCCTTAAGCCGTGAGCAGGGTTGGGACATTTGACAAATTTTAGGGTTTTTTACGTTACACGTAATAAACGTGTATATTACGTCAAATATGTATATAAAACGTAATATACATGTCTAAAACTATCTAACTTGGAAGAGTCCCGTTAGCAGTGTTAGGTGTTAGGTTTAGCACTGCTAATATCTAATATCACACGTAACGACACTCGACTTCTTTGCTAGAGTAGAGAGTGTAGAGACTAGTCACTAGAGTCTCTAGAAAACGTGCTCTCCTATTGGGTATCGGATGTCATAAATCGGAAATCGGCCGCAGTGTGAATCCCTCATAACCTTTAAATTAACAAATGTTCAGTCGGTTCAGTCGTTAACGCCGTCAACGGATTCGAATTTTACAGACCTGCAGAATTTAATTATGCAGGTACCCTCATTTAAATATCAACGTTTAAAGATCTCTTATTCGTAAGAGCCAGAGGAGCCTTTTATAACAAGCCCAGAAGTGGAATCAATGACGGAAGAGTTTACTCTACGAAAATGATTTTATCAAGGTTGATGTTTTACCAAATAACATTTCTGTCATAGATCCACCAATGTTGTTTGAATGCAATCCGGCTTGCGACTGTAACCGCATTACATGCAACAACCGAGTGATTCAGCACGGACTGACGCAACGGTTTCAATTATTCCGCACAAAGGGCAAGGGTTGGGGTCTCCGAACTCTTCGACATATTCCTAAAGGCACTTATGTTTGCGAGTATGTCGGCGAGATAATCCTTCGGATAGATTACGTTGGATTACGTCGCCGGAAAAACCGCGTCTCCTCTGGTCTCCTCTCGTCCACGCCGACCCACACGTTTGGTTAGGGAAAGATGGCGGTGATAATGAAGTTCTAGCAACGGCCTGAAGGGGCGCATACGGCGTTGACGTATTTTACATGTGTAAAAAACTAAGGACGTAAAATACCTAGTATTTTACATGTCTAAAACCGTGTAATTTACATTGAGTATTTTACGTGCCCAACCCTGGCCGTGAGAAATTAACCAATCACGGGTATTTATTCCCCTCACGCTCACCTGTGATTGGTTAATTTCTTACGGCTTAAGGTTTACAACTTAGGGCGACGTCCCATGGAGCGAAATACGCGGAAGCGGAATCAGCGGATCGCCAATCACAAGACCGTTTCGACGGAATTTTTGAAAGGGCTCTATCAGAATAATCTTGCGATTGGCGATCCGCTGATTCCGCTTCCGCGTATTCCGCTCCATGGGACGCCACCCTACGGCTGGATTCAGACTGAACGCGACGAGCGATGAGCGACGAGCGATATCCAATGGGCGTACAGTCTTTATAGGAAAACTATACGCTTTCCTGTATAATCTGTACGCCCATTGGATATCGCTAGTCGCTCATCGCTCATCGCGTTCAG